ATTTTTCTTACACGCACACATAGTGCGTTAGCCAAGGCCACTTTCTAATGTTTTCTAGACAGTGAGCATGATACGTTGTTATATGGGTTTTTCCATGGGCGCATTTTTTGTTTCCGATTTTTTCTGTATGTGCATTTTCTGTTTTCACAGCAAGGAAAATATAAGATAAATATAATATATAAAATACTATTGTGAAAAACTAAGTAAATGGATGACATACTAATACCCCATCTGTCCCTAAATGTTTGTCGCTACGATTTGCGTGCCGATAACTTTAACTTAATTTATAGAAAATGCGTGCAACATTTCTATCTCTAAATAAATTTATTAAAAAACTAGATTCAAATATCTATCCAATGATACTAATTATGTATCATAAATATTAATATTTTTTAATATATATTTAATCAAAGTTGTTTTTCGGGAAGCGAAAACGACAGACATTTATGGACAGATGGAGTATATATTTCCTATTTTCATTGTAAGGTGCATTTCCTGTTTTGGCCTAATTTTTGTATGTTCCTGTGAGTTAGAGTAATGTGTTTAAGCACGATGCGAACCCCTATTATATTCCAAAACAAACTTGAAAAAAGTGTTTATATGGTTCACCACTCACACGCTCGTACAAGTTAGAGTGAGCGTCCAGTCATGGTACGGAATCCAATGTAAAAATGAATTGAACACATGATGCAATCATTAATAAATCTCATGACGTAACACATATTCAGGTGCAATAGAAGTTTGGTTTCCTGGTGGATCGAAATGCATAACGTGATCCTTAAATAAATCCCTGAGCCGCAAGTTATCCTGGTAACCAAACAACAAGTTGAACGTCCCGTTACTTGCACGAGTATGTTTGCTGTATTATATATACTAAAAGAGCAAACGGTTTCTTTTGTCCCCTTTTTTTTACTTCCTAATAAAATGTCTTCGCACTCTTTGTATCCAGTATGTGACGTGCATTCATGATCCGTGCTCATATGAGTTAAAACAAGTTATGTCCAATAACGCTTCAAAGTTTGATTTAAGACGTATTAGATTCCGTGCAACGCGTAGGCAAATTTTCCAGTAAATATATAAAGTTAGCTGTGGTATCTTACAGGAAGATCTTTATATTAGTAATGATTAACAAATATATAAAGTTAGCTGTGGTATCTAACTGGAAGATCACATGCCCTGCTGAGGGTTTTAAAAAATAAAAAGCATGAAAAAATTGAAAATAAAAAATAGTGTTGAGGGTTTAAAAAAAATAAAAAGCATGAAATCTTTATATTAGTAATGATTAACAAATATATAAAGTTAGCTGTGGTATCTAACAGGAAGATCACATGCCCTGCTGAGTGTTTTAAAAAATAAAAAGCATGAAAAACTGAAAATAAAAAAATAGTGTTGATGGTTTAAAAAAATAAAAAGCATGAAAAACTGAAAATAGAAAAAATAGTGTTGAGAGTGGGATTTGAACCCACGCCCTTTCGGACCAGAACCTTAATCTGGCGCCTTAGACCAACTCGGCCATCTCAACTTGCTGCTGATAGTGCAGAGGACACTTATTTAGTTTGTATACATCTTAATCCACGATCTTAATCCCCGATGCAGACAAAAAAAGAAGAAGATCCAACCTGTATTATTATTACCTGTATCGATCGAAGCAGCAATAAATTTTTGTTCAGCTACCGACCATCTGTCAGCTCCGGTACAACAACCATGCCCCCATGGCATTCAACGCAAACGAGACAAAAACAAAGAGACGCGCTGGTCTGGTTAACTGCTCCATATCAAGATCAAGGCATGACGCTGTGCACGCACAGATGACAGACGCTCTGCTATACACTCTACAGTGTCCAGTGTCTACCACCAGTACACCAGCCATGGTGACACCAGGGGCCGGCCGTTCTGATGCTGTTCCCGAGACATCTCGCCTGGCAGTTATTGGCCCACGTTGACTTTCCGACGCCCAACAGCACACACAGCATCGTGTTTGGTTACCGGCCATCACTCGCCAGGGACTAAGTCAAGGCTTGCCATGGTTGCCTAGCGCAGCGTTTGGTTCGTGATTCAACTACGGCTCGCCACGCTTTTGAGAAATACTCGCCACAGTTTTTCTGTGTCGAAGTGTGGCGGGCTTTTCCTCCGCCTCCGCCATACTTCTCTCCTGCCACTCCTCCTGCTATGCCCTGCCTCTTCCACCATGAGCTCGTCCGCGACGACCACCGTTTGCACGGGCCCAACTCACCATGCCACCGTGCCCAGCGGCGGAGTCGAAGACGGAGACGACGACGAGGCGCACTCAGCGGAGTCGAGGCGCACCGACGACATCGCGAGCGTGATGGGGGTAGAACTGGACTCCTGCTTGAGCTTTACTGGTGTGCCCATGGCGGATGGAGTGGAGGGCCATGGCTTCAAGCCTCGAAAGCCGCATCTACTGCCTAAAATAATGGGGAATGGATAAGATCGTGTAGTGCGGGCCCACATGTAAGTGGCTTTCAGCTTTCTCCGTGAAGAATCCGGTAGCGCACTATTGCTGATCTATTTCTTTATTCTATGGGGGTGATTTATCTCTATAATTTGAGGGCTAAGCGTATGCTTAGCACTACGATTAAATTTGTATGCTTAGCACTATGATTAAATTTGTCCCACACTGCTATTTTGTGTACTTTTTCAACACTAATCCATATCCATTAAAAAAAATCATATATTTTCAATCCACTGTTCACACCTGTGTAATTTTTGCAGCCATCCACAAATCCATGTAATTTTGGCACCCATCCGAACAATAGCAATGTAATTTTTGCCACGCCTTACTAATGAACCAAATGGTCTAACTTTGTCACAGAATGTGGCAAGCCACGGGTATGACAAACACCTAACCTTAGGCGTGGCCAACCGTGACTAGCAATCAAACAGACCCTTAGGCCTTAACATACAGTATCCAAGGGGATCTCAACTCTGGTGAAGTGAAAGCCCTACACCTAATGGCTGCCTGATTGATGGATGATAGGAATGGAATCTCAACTCTTTCCAGATGAAGCAGCAATGCAACTGCAACCACTACTGATGATGCATCGTCGATCGTTGGCCGGTTGATATCACAACCGCTTGCACGATAACGACACGCCAAATGCAGGATCAGGAGCCTAGGTATCCAGGTGGCCCTCCTTTTCTTTGCACAATAAAAAAAGGAAGACATGCTTATTAAGTCAGTCAATCAATCAATAGGTTTGCCGTTGGCAACTCCAGCTTACATCAGCTAATGACTGAACCAATCCGTATACTGACAAATCTAGTATGGCGCGGTTCCATTAGAGGATGCAACTTGCAGACAGGGCCTGTGTGCCATAGAATGACAGAGACCTGAACACCGCACGAGCAGGGAGTAGCTGGTGCAGGATTAAACCAGCGTCTTTGACACCATCACACCAATGAGTTTCCCCCACCACAAGTCCGTGGTGTCCACGGGAGGATGACCCATTGAAGACCAGCTATGCAGCATCCCGGCATGGCCTTGCCCTAATTTTCAGGTTCCGACGACCGAAAACGCAATGGATACATACATTCATGCATGGCTCTTTGCATCTTCTATCTGTAGAGGATGAGCTTGGTTGAGGGACTGTTGAATTGACCCTGGCATCGACATGCTTACAGCCAATTTGTCTCCACCTCCAAGGCCCAAATAATACACACGTGCTTTGTTGCTTCATGAAAACCACTTAAGTCTGAATGATTTGATGGTACAACCATGCTGCAGTTGTACATTCCCCTTGCTATGCTAAAACTAACCAAACATGTAACACTGTACACTAGGGAGGGTCCGAGCGTCCATGTATATCTCTTATGACCACCTAAGGCGCCGTTAAGGCGTGTTGTATTTAACTTTTCCTCTATCTTAATACAAAGACACACAAACCTTTTATCTGATCGAGAGAGAGAAAAAAACATGTAACACTGACAGAAGGAAAACTCAGCAGTGATGTGGCCTGAACCCAACGCAAACGCAACCCATGGTGCAACATGCACTTCAATACAGGTCATTTGCTGAGAGCTTGTAGCACACGTAGGAAGCAGCGAGCTGGTCGTGCTTCCCAAGTTGCCATTCTAGTGGTCCTGATAAACATTCCGCTTTTATGATACTTCATTCATAGCCAACATTTCGTATATCACCTTAATTAACAAAATTTGAGGTCATGGACTTTCCATCAATGTGACATAGTGGTGCCCCTTTAATGATCTTGATCATCTGCTTGTGAGCTTGTGATATAATTGCTCCCAAGCACCAAAATCATGAATAACCTAAATAGATCACACAGGCACGATAAAGTATTAGAGCATCTCCAAGAGTGCCCTATATTCCTTCTCCATCCATGTTTTTTTGAAAAAAAAAGAGAAAAACTCATCTCCAAGAGTACCCATATCCCTTCCTCATCTTTTAGCACTTGGCAAACCAGCCGCCTCCACGCATAAAAATACGCATATCTAGTCGCGTACATCTCCTCCTTCCCGCGCCGTCACGACGTCAATTTGCCGCTCGGAGGCAGCCGTGGCCGTTTGCTGCCGCTCGGAGGCAGCCCCGTGGCGCCTGCGTGGTGTCCGTGGCCGGCTGCTGCTGCTCGGAGGCATCCGTGGCCCCTGCGTGGAGGCCGTGGCCAGCTGCTGCCGCTCGTTTAGGGAACAAAATTTAAGATACTCTTGAAGATGCTCTCAGTAGGCTAAACAGCAATCATCGTGATAGATAAACCATTCACAGAATTAAGTAACACACACTAACAAAACAATGAGCACTCTCCATATTACACTTGGTACTTTCTTCTATCCATAGCAAATTAGCAATGCTCAAAATATTATGGCTTGTGTGTTCAGGATAAACATTATGCTTTGTGAATCTCTATGCCTTGATGGATGATGATAAGTAGCAATCAGAGCAGTTTGTAACGATGGATTTAAGATCTTGAGTCCTAATTTTTCCTGCTTGCAGGTGGGACAAGAATATGGATAAGGTAGTCACCTTAGAAGCTTATCTCACATCTCTCAGCGAAGAACTTCCCATTTGTGGGTGGTTCCTGAGGTAATAAGGCAAGCCATACACCTGTATCAGCACCTTCTTCGGCAGAAATATTTCCTTCCCAACCAGTCATGGCAGTTTTTACCCAGCCAGGGCAGAAACAGTTAATGTATATCTTTTGGCCTTCAGGCCGATCCGAGAGCCTCCTTGCCATGAGTCGTGTATAAACATTAACAGCGAGCTTTGAGATCGAATAGTCCGTGTAAATCTTTGGCCACTCATTGGAGGACCAAGTACCTTGCTTGACTTGTTCGAGAAATTTCGTGATCATCTCATCAATTAGCTGCTCTGATAAACGATCGTCATTCAACAGTTGATCTCTTAGGCTCGCAATGCCAATTCTCTGACAGAATAGAATCAAAGGGTAAAGTAAATGTGAACGCACTGCATATTAAGAATAGATCACAATGGGAAGATACGAACATGTCGAACAAACTTACATTCCGTCTGCCATCGGCTCTACCAAGCCTTGAGCTGACATTCACTATCCGAGCACCATACGGAGAGTGTTTCATTAGTGGTATCATAGCATCAATCATCCGCTTTGTGCCACAGTAATTTGTCTTGAGAACTTGCTCAGCAAACTCAACAGAATTATCTGCTCCTTTGTTGAAGTTTACACCTGCATTGTTAACCTGTAGCCAGGGTACAACACATATAAGATATGGCCTTCAGGAAAGATCTCTGTAAATAACAGTCTATTTATGAATTGAAGGTGGTGTCACTGCACCTGGTTCTTCTCCTTTTCTACCAATCGGTTATATAGAGTACAAATTCCAGAAATAACTGCTAGGTAGTTCGTAGTTGTCGGAAAAAAAACTAGGACTAGTCTTGCTGGTTAATTGAATTATTTTTTGATGAAACTGGAGGGGCCGCAGCCCCTACAGGAGTTAATTGAATTAATCTTCCGTAGTATTGTGAAAGCAAAGAAACTAATCACTGGATATAAACGAAACAACTACATGAGCCAGGTAAGGCAATGAGAATGAGCTCACAAGGACATGGATGCCGCCGTGGGTTTCCACCGCCAGGCCGCGAAGGCCTCCACCGACGCGGCGTCCGCCACGTCGAGCTGGCGGGACTCCAAGCTGACGACAGCGTCATCGGGAGCCTCCGCCAGGATCCTCCCGGCCGCGTCCTGGCCCTTGGCGGCGTCGCGGGAGGCGAGCACGACGTGGAGGCCATGGAGCGCGAGCTGGCGGGCGGCCTCGAAGCCAATGCCGCGGTTGGCGCCCGTGACCACCGGTACGGCCCGCGGCGCCGGGCAGTCCCACCATCGCTGGTGGGGCTCGTAGGGGAGGGCCCGGAGGAGGGTGACCTCGCGGCGGCGCTGCTCGCGCCGACCCCGCGCCCCCTCCTTCCCTTTCTTCCCCGTCTCTCACTTTTTTTTTGAGTGGATCCCCATCTCTCACTTGCTCTTGCTTCCGTCGCAAACGGAAATGATCATCCAGCCCAATAGTGGGGATGGAAGTATTTGGGCCTTCGTGCCTCGTCACGTTTTCTATGGATGGTAAAATGGTCCCGATCAGGTCTAATTAGACTGCATGACAAAAGCAAAAGAAAAAAAAAATCCATTTTGGCTCCCTTAACTATCACAAAAGTCTTTAAAAAAAACTATCACAAAAATCAGCTTTTTTCTCCCTCAACTCTAAAACCAAAAATAACTCCTCCCTCATCTTTCAAAACCGGTCACTTGGCGAACGAGGCAATGGCTTAGTGGTGGGAGTTGCTCAGTGGAGCCACAACGGCCTGGGTTCGAGCCCCGCTCGACATAGGTTTCGCACCGGGGGTTTTTCCCCCATTTTCTTTACAGCCCCAAGCGCGGATGTTCCATAATGGTCATGGTGCCATGCCCGTCACGCTTGGAGTCTGATAATCTTCAAGTAGCTCTCAGCTATGTGTGTCTTTAGGTATAGGTGTAGTAGGCTTAGCTTGTGTTCAGTGTGTACGCGTGTGAGTGTGGTGTGTGGTCTGAGTTTATATGCAAATTCAGATACCACAACTTGTACTTGAAGTATTAAGATATTCAAAAAAATTCGATCACTTGACCCATGGCTATTTCCTTCGTGGGTTTTCTTTTTTTTCTTTTATGTTTATTTCGGCTGAATCTTTAAAAAATTATAGTAAATCATAAAAAATCATAAAATGGAAGATCTAACTGTGTTAGACTCCACATGAGTAGATCTACACAGTGAACATATGATATAATATAATTTAGTATAAAATTTTTGTTGTAACTTTAGATCTATACTTTTGTATAATTAATTTATAGCTGCAGTTTCTCTTATCCACTTGTGGTGGAATTTTTATGTGACCGATTTTGAGAGATAAGGGATGTGATATTTCTGGTTTTAGAGTTGAGGGAGGAAAAGCTAGCTTTTGTGTTAGTCGAGGGAGGCAAAGTGGATTTTTTCCAAAACAAAAATGAGCTAAGCGAACTGTGTTGTTCTTGAGCGAGCCCATTCCCATTTGCAAATTCGCAATCATAGATCAGGACAACAGAGATCATGATCAAGAGCTACATTATAACACCCCGGGTGTTACGAGCTTGCTTAGCACCGAGATTTAGGTCAGAGAGGAATTAGCCAAATAAATTTTTGGGTTTTAAAATTTATAACGCACGTGAAATGATGAACAAATCCTATGTGACTCACTTTTGTGGTTGAGAAAAATCAAAATAAATAGTGTTAACTAGTGCTCTTGGGAGCTCAAAAATCAAATTTGACGTTAAGATAAGCTCTTTTCGTTAAGTCGGAAAACACTTGAACTATTGTTAAAATACCATTTTTGGCGAATTATATTGAGCAAAATAGTTAAATGGTGCTTAAATATTTTGCTCCTATGGGTTAGTATAAGGTATGGACTATTGTATGAAGTATTTGTTGGTTGAAGTTAACAAGGTTTAGACCTATTAAAAATTGCGACAAAACAATTAATGGTTACTTAGCCCCAACTGCAATCTTTAACTTTTCTAAGTATAAAAAAGTAGTAAGACAATGCTATTTTGACATTTAATTTCTAACAAAAATGTTTAAACACTTGCTACATGTTTTGGTATTGTTGATTGCATTAAAGTGAGTGCTTGAGCATGGCATAGGTCGAAGTTGTGTTGGATGTCACGTTGCTCTCGTAAAAATTGCCCAAATGTTGTTAAAACGTGTGAAATCATGTCGTGGGCGCTCTGTTCATGAACTGGCGTTCAGCGCGACGAGCCCATGTTGGCATCCTTTTATCTCCCTCTATGGTTGCACTATGGTCGTGACAATCGCTTCGCTAGATGGCTGACAGTGTTGGCACTGGGTCAGCGAAATTGGTTGAGTTTCAATCGAGGTAACCAGCCGTCTTTACTTCACTTTAAAATGCGTGCACGGCACCGAGCGTATCCGCTCAGCCTAAGTCCGCGGTCACCGCACGCGCGGACGCTGTGGGCATCAGTCTCACGCTGTGGCCGGGACGTGGCCGCGGGCCAGCTCGTGTGCACGGTTGGTGCCACACAGCGCCTTGGCCTGGCGTTGGCCGTCCTCGACTGGCCGCGGTCTAGCTCCCGCTGTGGCGTGCGTTGGGCCGAGCCGAGGCTGTGGCTACCGTTGCTCGGTCGACATGGCGTCCGCCCACCCTTCTAATCACCTACCACGTGATACCCTTAGCGTATGCCACCACCACCATGTCTGGTCGTTGGCCCGGTCATAGTGGCCATGGGATGCCTCCCTGCCTCACTTGCCCTCGCTAGTCGACGCCAGTGCGACCGGCTCGGGTCCGGCCGCTCCAATTCAAGCGCGTCGCGCCAAGCCGTCTGGTCTCATCACCTGTGTGCACGAGCTCGCTCTACCACCGTCGACCGGAGCCTCGCTTTAACATGCCCTACCGCTTGAGCTCACCCGCATGCTTTTTTCCACAACATGACCACAGCGGGTGCACCGCGCGCTCTGCCTCTCGATTCGTTTAGCTTAGAGCGTCGTAGTTCAATTCCTTGCACCAACAAGTGGCCTAGGGAGTCAACTAGCCAGGCGACCCCTATCAAGGCCTTGTCGTGCCTCGGCACGGACGAATTTAGTGTTTCTACGGCCGTCGGTCATCACACCTCCTGAAACAGAGCATTACTTGGGGGTAAGGCCAGACCCCTCGGTAGGGGTTCAACTAGTTGTTTCTAAGAGCTCACCTTGGTCCCCTCGTGCTGTTGCTCATCTTCGTTTGACCAAGAACGACGCGAGTGAGGACCTGACGTGTCGGTGTCAACCTGGGAGCATCGCCGATATCACTACGCGCACGTGGCTAGGCCACCTCGGAAATCCTTCGCCTCAACCGCCACCGCAGCGTGAATTTTGGTGAGCTACTGGTGCTTACTTGCTATCTCCACCATCCCGATAGAACCTTAGGTCACCGGAACAGTTGCGCCGCCACTACGGATAGCTGCTCGCCGCTGCAGCTCGCGCCAGTGCGTCTCTGAGTCCATAACCACCACCCATCGTAGCGTGTTTAGCCGTAGATGGCGACCGACCCTCTAAGTGGGTCTGCGCAGGACTTTAGTAGACGGCGTGGACGCCCAGTGCGGCCGCTCGTCGCGCCGCCATGCACAGGATGACCGGAGGTGCACGCGGGGAAATTTGGAAAAATCCAGGGGGTTAAGTGAATTCGCCAGAGAAAGGAAGAAATAGTATTAGGACCTAGTTGTGGTTCGAGAAAAGTCCGAGGGCTAATTTGCTAAAGTGCCCCGTCTCGCGCGTGGGCCACGCCCCGCGCTGGGCCGAAGGGTGGCCACCAGCCATTTTCCTTTTCTAAGCATTTTCTAATTTAGTTTCTAAGGTAAACTTGTAAATTCAATATAAAATTATATTTTAACCAAAAATTGTGAAACTAATTTTGTTAGGTTCCTAAAATCATGATCTATCTGCTAGTATATTTTGTTCACATAGTTTTATAATATTTTTAGAAGTGATCTAATTAATTTAAGATGCTTAATATTGTTAAGATATAAACTTGAAGGGATTTTTGTGATAAATTGGTGATAGTGTTGGTTCTGAAACTTTCACAGTAATTTCCTAACATTATTAGGTGCTCACTGTAATTTTTATAGCTCCATAATAATTAGTTTGCTAAGGTAGCTAAATGAGCCCTAGTTTGAAAATATATATTTAATCAATAAAACACCGAAACACCCTGAGATTTTAGAACTAAAACATTTTCCAAAGACAAAGCCTTACTTGACGACATGGATACGTAGACTAGTACGTTAGTCATTAAAGCTAGCTCGATAGCTTGCGCTGCGTAATCGTATTTTAGAGTTGTAGTTGCCGTTGATTATTTACATCTCTGCGTTGTATCCACGTATATCATAATAGGAACAACGATGGATCATGAAGTCAACCGAAGTAGCAGAAAGATGGTGCCTTCATGATCGTGTCACCAATGGAATGCTAATCTTTGGTTATATCTTGCCCAGGCAAGCCTCGGTACATAACCCCTATTATTCTGTACTTTATTTTATACTTGTGTATTAAGTTTTAATGAGTTGAATGAAAACCACTTGCATATATATATATATCCTTATCCTATGAGTCATACTAGTATGTTAGGATCGTGTAGATTGCTCTGCTATAGGACCCGATAGAATTCGAGTGATTACCTGTCACTCGCA